ATAAAATATGTATTATTATAATATTATCATTATTTAGCATAAATCAATGATATGCTATCAACGTAAAAGATTATCTTCTATATTACTAGCATCGCAATTTCCGTCGACGATAATATAATGTGCAATTATATTAAAATAATTTATAACATTATCTAGCTAAGTACCTATTATATATTTTAAGTCCTAAATTAATTATTTAGTAGCGACGTGAAAAGCGTCGGTAGTGACTGTGGCGGCAAAGGTGACGCATTATAATATTATTATAATATGCAAACGGTAATATGTTATGCGCACCCCGTCGGAGTGACAACAAACGTATCGTTTCGATTAATTCGCGTAAAACCGATGTGCGACCACCAACTCCACCACCACCACCAGCACCACCACAACCACCTACACCATGCCAGCCGTGTGCGAGGGATGTTTGATTTATCGGTCCTCCTCCTGTAGGATTATCCTGCCAGCAGACCGTGCAGTGACACGTCCTGTGCATACCACTCGCGTTCTTTCGGGGGTTTTGCCTCGCGATGTCACCACCGCCAGCCCTGCAGCTTCTATAAAATAATATCGYTGTTGTCTGGACGATAGCCAACCACTGCAGCAACCGTTTAAGGGATTAAACGCCGGAGAAAAACCTATGGCGGATTTGAAATCGACGGAAGATATAATCGCCTGTTCACCGTCGCCAACCGTACCGCTGACGCCGAATTCGTTGCCCAAAATCGGTGTCCGTAGGTATAGCCGGTGCAGGTAATAATAGTATAGCAAACCTCGGCGATTCCATTATTTTAAACCGTCTGTTATTGTATCTATTACAAGTTTTGGTGTATATCGATGGTCAGGCGGACCAAATTCGGTCGAACAACAAATACGTTCACCTACATTAATAATTGCGTCTAAAACTGTATACGGYGGATATTTATATTTATATAGGTACWACGTAAGTACTTGTAGATATTGTACAACATGTGCGCAAATCTAATTACAATGTAATTAAACAATAGTTATTGTGCGAGATATTTAAGAGTAATTTAATCAAACGCCGAAAATTGTAGGCATAGATTTCTAAAACACAACGGCAGGTAAAAATATCGCACGAGACTGCAAAAAATAAGATTTTTAATTTTAATCAGTAATACCTCATTAGTAGGTATAGCATGACAATAAAATAACTATTTCTAGTTATAAAAGATAAAATGAAAAAGTTTGAGTTTACTCCCATCAAATTTCTTTTTTATGTTATTAACATCATATTATTGTGTAATCATATAATATGTACACTGCACATATTTTTATGTAAGTGACAAATTGACGGTTACAAAAGACTATGTAATATCCCTATTATGTGAATACAGTAAAATAAAGATTTTCGAGAGCGAAATTCTAGCTCAACCGTTGTGTGATTACAACGGTGAAAAATGAAAACATGGTGTAAACATAAAAGTCTATAGTGTACACTAATAATATAATTAATGAACATAGAATACCATGACAATCGTTTCAGAAACAGTGGCTGTACCCAGTCTCAAAACACGAGACCCACGTTATTGTTAATCTTATTTCACTATTAATATCATTCCACAAATAAAGTGAACCTACATTTCTTTTTTAAAGTTTTATTTTTGTCGTTATGCATACCAAATCTATTTATACGTTAAATAAAAGTTTCATTAAAAACGTGTCTTATAATATACTAACAATATTATTATTATTCGCAAAAATTCAGAAATTGRAAATGAAAAATAAAAATAAATAACCAATGATAAATTATTTCTGGAGTGTCTTTTTACCAATAATGGTGCGGTATGTCACGTATGATTCTCATATTACGAGTATATTATAATAATATAAACTATGTATGAGGTTATCAATTTATGACTAGGCCATACTGCTGATATTTTCTTAGTCTACATTTGTGTGTTTTCAAAACTTGTAAAATGATTTCAAAAAAAAAAACAATAATAATAATAATAATAAAAAAAAAAATGCATAGTCGAAAAAGTAATACTTATCTGTAAATAATTATATATTATAATAAATAGTTTATTAATAAAATCATTTCAAGTTTATGTAAATGGTAAATAGAGCCAGAATTCTAGTCTGAAGCAAAGTTAATGCACCACACATTTCGCAGAATTCTCCAGAATATTTTACTTTACTGATCTAAACTTCCTATGGTTATAATTAATTACACATTAATATTTGTATATCAAAGTTTCTAGAAAAGCTCGATTCTGAAATGAAGATTAAAATATTTTTATTAAAATTAAAATATTATAAAATCTATTAAGCCATTAAGATTAAAATTAGTAGGTACCTATAGTGTATATTACTYTAATTTTKTATATTTTAGTTGTTTGCCATTGTAGATTGGAATAATAAATTAGTTTATATCCAATGGCTAATACCATACATTGAAGTAAAAATAGTAAAATATTATAGACTGTATAACTGCTGTAGTTGGATATAAGCTAAAATTKTTTTGTTTAATATGTTCATATCTTGCACGTTGTAAAATAAAAAAAATTATAAAACACTAAAATGACATTTCTTACGGCAGAATAATTAAAAAAAAAAAGCGGGAAAGTGGATGTCGCTTGCTGTACAGTAGGTTACAAATGGGTTACTGTAATGGATGAAATTAAATTTGAATCCAATGATATTATACCTAACTTATTAAAATTTGAACTTTAAATGTGGATAGAATATACTTATATAAACATTAGGTGAAAATTTCATGTATCTATGGTCATTTGTTTTGTTTTTCTCTATTATTTAGAAAAGTATTAWGAATTTTTTACTTTTTACCCCCCCACCAAAGTACCAACTAGATTTAATTTCTGATCGAACGAGGTACTGAAGTAAAAAATCGAAGCACTTTTACTGCCCCAAAACGTG